TAAAAAGCTAACAGTCAAGAAAGCCCTATGAGGCTGTCACATGGGGTCACTGAACTGAAAACTTCAGGACAGCACCTAACAGCAATCAGCATTCTTAACCACAGCCTCCTCCAATCCGAAAGCCCCGATCAGAAACAGGCAGCACAACGAAACTATTTCTGTACATGAACATGCAAACCAGCTAGGTCCAACAATACTTCCGATGTGTAGGATTTTCTGAAGCGCATGAAAATGGTGATATGTGTTGAAGATAACACCAGGTGTCCTCCTGCCAGTGAGTTGGTTCTCATTCATAGTGACCTTAGAGGAGAGCGTAGACCTGCCTCACAGGGGCTCCAAGGCTATAAATCTATAGGAAGCAGACTGACACCTCTTTCTCCCACAGAGTGGCTGGCCAGATCAAACTGTGCCTCCCCTGTGGTTGTCAGTGGACTGCTTTAACCACTGAGCTACTGGGGGTCCTTTATCCCAAGGGTGGAATCTCTAATTTTACAGATCTCTTGATCAAGCCATGAATTCCAGGCTATCGTTTGGAAGAAACTGGGTAATTAATTTAATGGGCTTTGAGTTATAGAAGTTTCGCCCAAGTTAAAAGTGACAGAGGAGGGGGGGAAATGACTCAGGAACTATCTGCAATTAAGAGGCATGACAAATGACATAGATGGCCAAATGGTATTCTTTGATATTAGAAAGTAACTGTACTTGAAAATAACTTTATAATTGAATAAGGGTACATTAGGAAAATATGATTCAGAACCAATATTATAGTAATTAGATAAAGGAAGCATAAATGAAATAACTGCAGGAAGAATATTTCCATAGAGATTGTAAATGAGATTCTGGTGGAGCAGAAAGGCCTTTAATTGTAATTTAGTGTGCACTATAGAATTATCAGCTCAGTGTGTTACTTCATCACATAAAAGAATATCTGATAATTTTCCCTAATAAGCACATGACAGCTCTTCATATTCTTTCATTATAGCTGATTAAGTGTAAAAACAGTAGACATTCCTTCGTTGGAAAAAGAGTTGAAATCTTTTAAGAAAGAGCACAAAGCTGTTGCATTTCCATAGCATATGATCCCAAAAGGCTATTATTTAGGAAGTCATAAGAATTTTAAGTGGCAGTTTAAAGATTTTGCTTCCGTTTCTTCAGTCTTACACACAAACCTCAGTCTGTAGAAGCTCATTCTAGTGTAGTTGAGGCAGGGGCTTGTGATGTCTGATCCATCACACAAACGAGGCCAAAATACGGTGATGGGGGGGCCGTGCAAGGAGAGCATTTCCAGAAACTCCAAGAACACTGGAATGCAGCCTTGCTTCACTCAGAGTTAGTCTGGGGACTCAAGCATAGTCCTCCTCGTGGCCTCCACAGCCTCTCTCTCTGTCCTTGTTTCTCAGTGCTGCTCCAACAGAGGAAGCGCAGTGGGTGGTTTGAAAGAACAGAACCTTGTTTTTTCACATCTCAGGAGGCTGAGCTTGTAAATAGAGGGCACTGGCTCTAGGAGAAGGCTCTCTGGGTTGGCTCTCAGGAGAAATATTTGTTTCAGCCTCTGTAACACTAGTGTGCCTTAGAGCCTTGGAAATTTCCACATGGCATCTATCTTGTCCCGATTTGTGCTTGCTTCTCTCTGTGTCTAATCGACTTCTTTTATATTTCAACACTCATTAGGGTTAAGACAGACCCTTGGCTGGTTATGGCCTCATTAACATAACAAAGAAAGCCATATTCCCATATAGGATCATATCCTCAGGTATAAAACCCAGAATTGAAACCCTTCACTGTCAGTTCCATTCCAACTCATAGCGATTCGATGAGGATGGAGTACAACTGCCCGCGGGTTTCCAAGTCTGTAGTCTTTACGGAAGTCGACCCTCCCATCCTTCTCCTGCAGACCAGCTGTGATCTCTCTTAGCAGCAAAGCACCTAACCACTGCACCACCAGAGGTGTAAGGGTTAGGATGCCAATACATATTTTAAGAGGATACAAGCAATCCATAACACTGCTACTTATGGTATTTTCCATATGATCTGCATTCATTGTTATTAAGTCTAGAATAACTAACCAATGCATCGTCAGAGCTACATGGTGAAGATAGGCGCTCACATTTGTTAGGGAAGGTGCTTCCTCCAGTGGACCTCCCCGTTCAGTCAGCGCTGCATTCTCCTGCGTCTTCAGTCCCCTGAGGATACAGTGCTAGTGAGTAAGAAGAGGAATTGCTTCTGTTCACGTGCTCCTCTAAAGGTTTGACAGCCTCAGAACCCCTATCTCACTCTCAGACTCACTGCTGACACATGGAGGGCAGCATTGCCCCTTTGAGTTTCTGAGACTGTAACTGATGACAGGAGTAGAAAGCCCCTCTTTCTCCCATGGGGCGCCGCTGGGGGTTTCTAATCGCAACCTTGCAACCAACCACCATACCACCAGCACTCCTGAGAAACCTTATGAGTGCAAATCAACTTGATGGTAGCAGGTTTGATTTTGTGTAAACTGGAGGCTCTTGAATTTTGCAATTACTTTGCTATAAGTTCAGTGCCTACACAAGGCCCCTGTAGCCAGAGGCATATCAAAGGGCAGGTGTGGCACTTGCCCTGGGTTGCGCTTGAAGGTTAGTAGCACTGAGCAGCTTCTGTTACCCATCAAAGCTTGTGTAGCCAGCTATGAGAGGTCATTTAGCATATTAAAATTGGTACTTTTAAATACCTCCAAATATAAAATATATAAAAAGGCAAGGTAGACTGTGGGGTCTTGCTTGGTGGAATTTAGAAAGGGAAGAAACGGGCCTGGGAGGGGACCGAGGGGTTGGGATGACTTTGAGTATGTCATAGACCAGCTGTCATCAGTGAAAGGAAGAAAGGTGAAGTTGTAATTTTCATGTAGTGCCATAACGTATTAAATAAAATATTAGTAAGCTTGACTTGCATTTTTGAGCTGATATTATGGTAACGTTATTTAAAAGATTGCTGTCAGCTGTTTGGACAGGGGTGTAATTTCACTGCCTGCCATAGGTGCTGTTTTCTGTGGATTTGCCTCTCCCTGTAGCAGAGTGTTGGCATGATATAAATTCCTTCCGGAGTCCACACGGTACTGGAAATAAATGACTGAATTATTTACTTCATTAGCTCCAACTTAGCAACTAAAAATGAAAGACGAGATCTCGACGTATCTATCAACACCCTAGGTGAGATGCTTTTCATGGGTGTTCTCTCATTTAATTCTTAAGATAGCCTAGAACCTCCCATGCCTGCTTTATAAATAGGAAATTAGCAATAATCTGCATTTTAAAAAAAAACAGTAATGTTCAACTTTTTAGAGACCCATTGCTTGGGGGTAAGAAGGAAGAAAATCATCCGAAGTTGACTATGGTGAGGATTCCACAACCCTTCTCACTCTGACGGAACTCTGGAATCCTACGAGATGCTGGGTATATCTCAATAAAGCGAGTTCCAAAGCTTAAAACACTGCTGCGAATCAGGGCCAACTCATCAGCTGACCCTGGAGGACTGAGCGGATCTGCTCCCCAGCGCCTCCCGGGCTGAACTCTATGAAAGCAAACAGACACACCTTTCTCCACAGACCTGCTGGTGCATTCCGAGAGGCTGGGTAGGTCCAAACCTCAGGCCTTTGGGGTCAGACGTCAAGGAGGCTTCACTACCAAGGCTTCGAATCCAGCTTTCTACTTCCGACTAAATAGCAACTAGCTTTGCTATTCACCCCACCCCCACCCCCACCGCCCCATTCCACGTATCCTGATCCATTAACCAGTGAGCAAAGGGAGTCAGTGCAAGAAAGTTGAAGCCCGGAATTCAAAAATGACCAGATAAGGTATGCCTGTCAGACATTGACAAGACAAAAGACTCCTTAAAATGTTCATTCCTGGTTGGTTGGTTGGTTTGTGTGGGTGGGGGTGGGGGTGGGGGTGGGGTCCTTATGCAAACTGAAAAGAATGCAAACAGTTCAACACGTGTCCATTCTCCTAGGGAGAGGTGCTACAGTGCAGGTGGAAAAGCCTCCCTGTCATTCTGGAATTCACATCACGGGCGGTGCTCTGGTCGGCCAAAGGCAGACTGTTTGACCTTGGGGATAAGGTGTCTGAAACAGGCTAATGAGGCATGCCATGGCACTGAAAAGAAAGTAAAAGAGGCAACCCCCCGAGAATTGAAGTTAATGTCCACAGCAGCAGAGCATGGGCGGCCAGGAGGCATTCTCAGATTGTCACATTAGACCTTGACGTTTTCTCACGCTTAGCACATGGGTGGAGAGCCATACAGATGTGTGCATAGACGGATATATGAACTGAATGTCAGAGTGCCCATCTTCATTCTTTAAAACGTTGTCAATTTTTGGTCTCCTAAGGACAACTCTTCTGAGGGCTCTGAAAGGGCTGTGGTAAAATAAAGCAAATACTCAGTTAAACATAGCATTCTTGTCATCCTTTTTCTCGGGCCATTAGCTTCTTCCCAAATGAATAGGCTGAAAAAGCTTGCTTTTAATTAGGCAAATTAACAACAACATCTTGACACAGACAGATAGATAGATGATAGATAGATACATAGATACATGGATAGGGAGTTAATTGGGGAGTGGTTGGATAATGGGTAGATAGATATGTATGTGTTGATTAATATTTAATAAATTCCATATTATCTAGCCTACTTGGAGAACAATTATTATTTCTACTTCCTCAAGCATTCTGGGGTTGCAGTTTTATAAGAAATCAAGCACTAAAAGCATGCATTTGCGTGTTGACCATCATGGTGGTGGAGTAGAAGTTCCTTGAACGTTCCTTAGTGACACAAATTAGCCGTGGTGGAGCACCAACATCAGTTATGGGAGAGGGATAGCAGTGTTGGTGAGATACTTTGGGGGGTTAAAGTTCTAGATGTTTACCAGAGAAAGGGAAGTATTATACTGAAACTTGCTCCAGAAGGGACTGAAAATAGAAGTAGTTAGGATGGTTGCTTTACCAGCCTTCAGACTTAATTGTTGCTCCTTCCAGGAAGATCTCCAACACTTGGCTCAGCACTGGCTGGTTCACGATGACAATTGCACTGGAGCTCTGTGACAGGATCAATGTTTATGGAATGGTGCCCCCAGACTTCTGCAGGTAGGATTTATTCTGCAAGTGTAATTCATCAGTGGTGTTGTGCAGGGTTTATAAATATTTGATTCTCAATATCAACCACAAAACATGTCTAAATGTCTTCTTCAAGCAATTAATTAACATGTCTCAAATTCTGACTTCAGAAACAACAAACAGCATTTAATTATGTGATATAAAATATTGAAAGTTTTTGTTTGTACTGCTGGAGAATTCATCCGTCTTGTGAGTTTCATTTATCCTCTGAATATTTATCAGCCAAAAGTAATGGCATAATTGCCATAATATTAATGATATTATTAAAAGCATAAGAAAAGTCTTCTCATTTGAAAAGAATGTGGTGATTTTTAATGCATTAAAGAGGGAAATATCCTTGATAATGGGCCTGTTTTCTGAAATTAAAATATTCCTCTGATCCTCTTACCCTTGCCACAAGAGCCGCCTCATTTTGAGCTTCTGAGAGTACAGACATAATTACTTTGATATATCACTTAATAGGGACTATGCACACATCTTCGTTTCCACCTTAAATTACCTGCTAGCATGTGCTCAGGCAGAATTTGGTGGCTACCGGCAGATGTACTGAAAAAGATTTTGGGTCTGATTTGTGGAAACCACTTTTTTTTAAAGCCCATCATTTAAAGTAATGATGCCAATAAAGTCAGAAGGTACACTCGTTTTCTCCAAGGCTTGATAACCTGCACTCTGCCTCAATCCTGATCTTTAAACGGTAACACCCATGAGTAGAGTAAAAGGTATTTTCAACTTTGTTAAAATTTGTGCTTGCTTACACCTTTGAATTTTATAAATTAACTTCTTGAAGACCTTGGGCCTTCATAAAAGCTCCATTTTGAAGGGTGAAGCACACAGGAGAAAGAGTACTTAAGCATGACATTCCATTGTGCCACTTGCCTCCTGCCCTTTTACATTCAAAACCCAGCAGAAGAGATTCCGTCCTAATTCACATAGATAGAAGCCAATCCAAAGAGTAAAGGCAACGTGCGGATGGAGCAGGCCCAGGCCTTCCCAGGGACGACATTATGCAATGCAGTCTAAAGCCACATGGCTGCAACGAAGATACTACACTCTTTCGTGCTTTATAGGCTTTCAATCACCTATAGAAGTTTGTAATTGCCAGGGAAGCACTGAGTATTTTTAATTTTTCTCACTTATTTATTTTCAGAAAAGGGGGTGGTAGGCCAAATAAGTTTGGGAATTTATGTTTTAAAGTGTCATCAGAAGCACATGTAATGTCCACACTTATCGCAACATGCATAGCAATACGGCTCGTGCCATATGTATTCTCAAAAATCATTGAGCTTTTCTATAGCCCTTCCTACTTCCTTCTGAGCCGTCGCTGGAATTTCCTTTAATGTCCATAATTCTACTAACAATCTCTTCAAGAACATCTAGGCTTTTCCTATTAGGCTCCTTAAAATTATGTAGTGCTCGGCCAGCTCCACATTGTAAGTATTTCTCAGAGAAGCACCATACCGTCTGGTATCAAACTCTCAGGGGTGTCTAGTGCTTCTGTCACACACGTGGATCGTTTGAGCAAACAGAAACTCATTTTCTAGCAGTTGAAGAGGCTGGAAGAGGGGGTGGCAAGTTGCTCTGTGTGGCTACGCCTATCTGTGGCTCTTTGGTGATACGTACATGGGCTTTGAAGTAAAACGGAAAATTGTAAAGGCTATCATTCAGATAATGGTGATTTCATTTATTTGTAAAAATAAAGTTATGGCTCTCAAATAATTTTTCAGTTGTTGAGAGAGACAAGATTTTCCTTTGTCTCAAAGGCTTGCCAACCCCTGCACTACAAGTATGCATTCAAGGTTCTGGTTCTGAGGGCTGGCTTTCTTGCTGTTGGCTTTTGTTGCTGATAAACTTCAGGTCCTGGGCCATCTTCATGTGGTTTGGCATCTCTTTCCCCATCTCTGCTTCTAGTTCGAGTTTAATCTTTTATATACCAAAAGAGATGGGCTTAAAATAGGTCTTACACCAATCCGGTCTCATTATATCATAAAGAGAACCCATGGCCAAATGAGATTATAATGGGAAGCCTCCAAACCCAAACCAAACTCTTTGCCATTGAGTCGGTTCTGACGCATGGAGACACCATGGACGAAGCAGAACTTCCCAGGTAGGTTTCCACGGCTGTGGAACTTTATAGGAGCAGAAAGCCCATCTTTCTCCCTCAGACTGGCTGGTGGCCTACTGCTGACCTACTGGTTAGCTGCCCACCTGGTGGCCCACTAGGGCTAGAGGTTAGGGTTTAGAATAATTTTTTTAAATTATATTTTATGGGGATATACTTCACATGCCATGTAATTGAATAACTTGATTATATTAAGAGGATTTGGGCACTCATTATCACAATTAATTTTTGAACATTTTCTTCTTGTACTCATTGTCATTAACTCCCCATTTCCCCCCACCCCCCAATTGAGTATTAATCCAGTAACTGTCTACATAGACCAACTATCCTGGGCTTCATAGCTAGAAAATCATACGTAACACAAGCAGGAAGCAAGCAAACAAACCAACTACGACAGAAATAACTCAGCGACAATCAGATAAACAGAGGAAAGCCCCGTTCCAAAAGGAAGTTTACGATATTACAAAGTGAAAAATCTTTAAAATGGATCAAAAAGGAAATCAAGTGAGAAGGTATGACATTTTAACCGAATGCCATAATCAACTTGACAGTTTGTCTCTCTGCCGGATAGCGTGCCTAGTCACACCCCTCAACTCTGGTCAGAGGGAATTCACCAGAGGCTTAATCCATGTGGGGACCCTGCAAATGGATTTGGGCTTCCACTGTCATCCAGAGCCATCTGAAAACCAGGTGTTCACAATTTAAGCTTTGATACCATTCCCTCTTTCAGATTTTGTTAATTACAATCCTTTGGCCACATGGACTAATGTGCTAAGCCTTTAAGACCCCAGATAGCGTTTTTCCTGATAGCTGGGCACCATCTGGTTTCTTCATCACACTTTGCTATAGCAACTACATCTTCAGTATTCTCTTCATGAGGGCATGTACCAAGCAGGGCCATATCTTTTTTTAGATTGATACTAGAATTAAGTGCAAACCCAAAGTCCATTCTTATATCTCTGGTTTATGCATGCCTCTGGGTATGTCTTTAAAGACATTATCATCGTTTTATGAAAGAAAACATTATAAGTCACCCCCCTAGAGCATAAGGTAATTCAAATGATAGTATCATTAATTTAGTCAATGGCATAGAATTTAGAACACTGTACAGTGAATATTTTTGAGGGACAAGATTAAATTGATAGCAAAGGATCTAAAAAATGCAAACTGTCTTTGCAAATCAACAGACTAACAAAGGCAGTGGGAACAGCACTTGTAAGTATGCAAAGAACTGTCAAAGTTGATGACTTTATGGCTGATATAATTATGTAATATTTCCATTAGGATGCCAGAGAGAAAAAGCATGAATAAATTGAAATGTTAATGACTTAGCGTGTTCAAGGAAATAATCCATTTATTATGGAAAACAAATGGAAGGCAAGTTAATCTGTCATTTCTCGTTCTCTAAATTAGTTCATCATGGCTTCATGTATAGTAGGAGGGAAACACTTTATGGAAAGATACTCACATGGAAATCAAGATCATTTCCATGCACTAAATGTTGCAGCCAGCTCAGGCTTTCTGTCCCAATACACCATCCCCACAAGGTACTTTCAGCGAGAACTCTTCAAACGAACTCTGAATTGCTCAGGAAAGAGAACTTTTCTGAGTGTCAGCTGGTGACGAGGGCTACGACTAAAGGGAGAATCCTACTTCAGTCGTATTTGTTTTGCGAAGGGAAAGACCAGGAACAGTAACGACTGATTACCAAATGCCTGTCGTCTTCATTTCCAGCACACATTGCTTGAGCCACCCACAAGCCCTCTAACATGGTGCTTAAGACCCTGGGGTTAGGACAGACAGAGGCAGGTGTAGAATGTAGCTCTGCCAGCTCCGAGTGATGTTGCTTCTTGCTATCTTCATCTATGAAGTGGGGATGAGAAGATTAAGTAAGAGAATGGATTCAAAAATGCTTAATGGCCTGCCCAGCACATAATCAGTGCTCAGGAAAGATTATCAAGATTGTCCTTAGCCCGAGAATGGCTCCAAATGGGGTTGAACATGATTAGAGATTCAAAGAATAGGACATAACTTTTAGCGTCTGTGGACTTGGGGTAGCTTTAGACACAGTACAGTGTCATGAGCACAGCAGAACCACGCACCATGCGGCTTTTGCGTCCCTCATCTACGAGTCAAGTACTCTCATGAACAGTGTCTTCCACCAGAGAATAAGAAACCCATTTGTCAGCCAGTCCTGCTCCTGGTTTGACCATTTTTTAATTCTACTTTGTTTTGAAAGAAGCTGAATCCTTTTTCCAAATCTATTAAATGCCAAAAGCGTGGTCCATGTGTGTCAACTTCTAGGACTTCAGGACATCAGCGATCACCAGAGCTAAAAGATAAGGAAAGGTTTTCTGAACTAGTTTAGTCCATTGGCATGTAACACATTGAGAGTAGGGGCTTGGGTTGTTTGAGTCGTTGTTGGATCTTAGTGCATAGCACAGTCTATAGTTACTGCCATGGTATATAGTGGGTACTCATTTAAACATAAGTGAGTCCATGATCCTGTGTCCCCCTCCCTCCTGGGGCCTTGGAATTTGAGCCCAAACACTCATTTCTACTGCTGAGAAGCTGTGACTTTGAGAAAGCTGTTTGATTTACTGAAGCTGTGCCAGAGTCTATATGATGATTTCATGAGCTAATAGAAAAGAAATGCTTGGTGCAGTCGCAGTACATGTTAAACACATACAAGTTTTCAGTTAAAAGGACTTGCTGATCTGTTAGCATCTTTTAAAGCAGTGCCTAGGTAATACCAATTAATGATACTACGTTGGAGGTAGGTGGGAGCCTCATTGTTTGAAAGGGAAGGGCAAATGCCTGTGACAACTGGAAGTTGGATTCCACTTCTCTT